CAAACAGGTAAGACATGGCAAAATTTGTTTATAAAAGTAAAATTGACTCAGCTATAAGAGTGGAGGTACTTTGTCAGCCTGCCTCAATTGATCATTTACGTAGGAACTATAAGGCCTGGTTCACACCAATACGTTTTTAGTGCTCTTTGCAGAAAAGCACTACAGTCCATTTAACATGGTTGTAACCTATGGGACACTTTCACATCCTATGCTCTTTTTTGCAGCTGCATTTTTTTGGAAAGGGTCAGGGAATTGTTAAAATGCAAAAACCAGCGGTTTTACTACAATAGAGTTCAATGGAGGCGCTGCCGAAACACATGTAATGCATTTTTGCTGCGTTGTGTTTTTATTCTGCCCAGCAACAAAAACATTTCCCCTTTTTTTAAAAAAAAAAAAAAAAAAAAAAGAAAACCCCTGAAGAAAAGTGAGTGTAAAAACACAAAACGAAATGCAAAAATGGATCAAAAGCAAGCTGCATTGGGGTGAAACAGGTCTAATGCACATTGGGCTTTAAAAAAACAGCCAGCTGCCTTGGGAGAAAAAAAAAACATTCATAAAGAGCATTTTTGTACAGGCGTCTTAGAAGCGTTTGTTTTTTTGACAGAAAATACCTCTCAAAAACGCTGAGCTTAAAATATGCCTTTAAATGTCCTAATGTGCATGGATAGACAAGAGAACATTGAACTGATTCTACAGGCAAAATGCTAAATTCCTGTAGAAGCAGGGTTTTTTAAGCCCGGAGTGCATGGACCCTAAGGAATTTGGCTCATAGGTAATGAACTTTATGCTGCAAGGGGTTAAAGTGTTACTAAACCCACAACAGTAAAATCAGTCTGTATATGCAGTAAAGCATGCTTGTTATACTCACTGTGGAACCTAAGGGGTTAAACCTCTGCATTGTGGGGGGGCTGTTTGATCCTGTCTTCTCTCTGATCCTCCCCTTCTTCCACAGTCCCCAATCAATCTGCTGATAGCACAGAGCTGTAGGAGGCACTCTTGCACATGCCTAGTTTGGTGTGTATTGCTAGGGAGTGTGTGTTTTTTTTGTTTGTTTTTTTTTTTGCACGGGAGGGGGGGGGGGATTTTATTGTCATCAGTGCAGGGCCAATCAGCGCTGTCCAGATAAGAGGGTCAGGGGTCATGCAGCCTCATAAGACAGTCAGAGGGGAATGAAAACTCCACCTACAAGCTTGAGTACTGAACCAGGCAGTGATAAAATGTGTACTGTGGGAGAACAGATGTAGCGAATGCAGGGTCATAGGTTTAGTAACAATTTACGTTGAGTAACAAATATATTGTGGTTGACAATGTCTGGGGAATATGTTATAACCTGTTGTTATATTAGGTCTGGGCATGTACTGTATGTATGAAAACTCAGCTGAGCAATACAATGTTTTACATGTTAAAAGAAGACTAGAGTCCCACTGCCTGGCTGTATAGAAGACTACATAATAAGCAATATTTTATATTAAAGGTGGAAAAAAAAAAAGTGTGTGTGTGTTCTGACCAAAATAAATGTATGTAGAAAACCACTATACATTCCCTTGTAGCCTCCCTGGAGGTATTACCGAGTGTAGCTCGGGGTAAAGTTTCAGTACCACAAGCGGTAACCCCAAGCTACAGCTGCTCTAGGATCTCTTCTTCACTTACCTTGTTCTGCGCTCCCGCGATGTCCCTCCTGCAGCGTCTTCAGCAATGTCCTCCAGCGGATGCCGGCATTCTGTCTTCCGGGTTCCGTTCCCTGCGACGTCAGGACATGCGGGGACGGAACGGCAGTAAATGTGAAAATGAGAAAAAGTGACATTCACTAAAATCACATAGTAAGACATTACTGTATCAAAGCATTTCACATACATTTTGTCCCTAGTGCTTTGTCCTGTACCCTGCCTGCATTTTTACTGTTCTTTCTGCCTGGAAACTGAGAAATGTCCATGGCGTCCAAAAAGCGTCCCTTTTAGGTCAAAATCGGTTTTAGACCAGTGAGAGAACAGCGATAGTAAATTAGAATCACTTGCAGAATTGAGTGATAATGATTTGTGGGGAAATTCGTCATCCGACACTGAAAACGATTCTGTGACTTTGCTCAGTGATGTGCGAACTTGGCGCTATATTTCAAATTTCAGTGTTTTTGGTTTGATTATATTATTGAATTAAATTTATTATTATTATATTATTTTTTATGATTATTAAATTATAATTTATAATTTTGTGTTTCAAATGTTAACATACCCGGGATGTTTACTAGATTGTTTGGACAGATTTCAGTGAGTTATTCCTAAAAATTACAGGCCTACAATAAAAAAAAATACATATTTCCATGCAAAAAAAAATTTACCACTCTGAGCAAAGAAATATGGACATAATCATAATCCGTTAAAGGGCTTTAAAATCTATGCTATCTGACTTTTTTTTTTTTTTTTTGGATTTCCTTACTTTTCTGTGTAACTAATCCAGAACAAGCATGCAACAAGCGAAGTCAGAACTGATCTGCATACTTGCTAATGGACAGTGACTCCGTATGAAAGCCAGGCAGTTAGTGATTTCACATCAATTAATGCAGAACCCCAGCCTTGTCTTCAGGCTTGCAGATTCATGCAGGCTCATCTCCTGTAGTGACATTTGTACTTACTCAGATTTCACTACTCTGAGCTTCACCCATCATGATTAGAAGCTACAGTAAATTAGAGCCTGCCTCGTTCCTTGACTGGTAGGCATGCAGCATTATTTAGCTATTTGCTTCCCAATCGTAATGTCTTTGGCACGTTAATTGGATTTTTTTTTTTTTTAATCATGCATGTAGGTTATTATCTAGGGCAGTCTGCCTGGGAATGCCCACTCTCTCAGACAGAGATCACCCTTAAAGGCATTTTGATAATTATTTGTAAGATCAAACCGCACAAATCCCCAATCACCAGAAGTCACAAAGCTGCAAGTATATAAGAGGATATCGTCTCTTAAAAGGCTAATTCAAATGGATACTGTGCTAGGTGAACCGTTAAAACTTTGTGAGCACCATGAAGACCTTCACACCTCTGAAAAGTGATCAAAATTTGAAAATAAAACACTAATAGTTAAACGAAAGAGCCAGTTAACTGTTTGTAACATGGTTTAGAGCTCTGATCCAAGCCGGGTGCTGTAAGGTTTTCAGAAAGGCTATGTACAGCACCCAGCTAGCTTTTTTTTCCTCTAGCCATTATCTGCCTGGATTGCATAGAGAGACACAGAGAGCCAGTGATAAGATAATGGAGTCTAAAGGCTGGTTCACACAAGAATGGACAGCTGCTGAAGCGATTTATCTCCCTGGTAGTTGTCTGTTCCTGGATGCAGTAGGGGGCAGTGTGGTGCGTATTTCACCGACAGCTCAGTTTTTGAGGGTTTATTTTTTTTTTTGTATGTGTGCAAACTTTATTTGAAATTTACTAAATGTACACTTCATTCATGGCATTGTACAGCAGTGTGATGCACTGCATTTTATTGCAGCACAGCTCCAGATTGCTTTGCTGTGTGAATGGGACACACAGGAAACAATTGGCTTCTGTGTGTCTTTGCGGTGACAGACCTTTTACAATGCAGCTAAGTGTGTGTGTGTGTTTATCCTTTAAATAAGGTGTTTAATGCAAACAGACTTTATTTAAAAATGACAATGCCTGTTGATGGCTGGGACAAAGGCAACATTTTATTTGAACTAAAGTTCAGTTTCAAAATTATTTAATGTCATTCATTGTTTGGTGCTAAAAATATGTTGCTAACAATCCATTTATTTATATCAAGATACTGAAAACGTGTGGAAACAGCAGGTTATGGTACGACTTTTACAACTTGTTGACATACCCATTTTGGAAGACATCTTAGATTCTCCAGCAAAAGCAGATTACAAGAAGCATTTCACAGATTATATTGTTTCAAATACTTTCTTAGACCGGGAAATCATGCAGACACTTCAACTTCCAAAGTAAGTACTGTTATATACATTTTGTAACTGGAGAAAAGTCAATGCCACGGTGTACCAGCTTCCTTGTATGGTGAGTGTCACTGCTTCTGTGAATGGATACAAATAGTCCTCTAATTTGTTGAGGTGAAGAGGCAGGTTGATGTCACCAACTCTGCCTCAGCTAATTCTAGGAGGATTCTAGAATACAAAGCTTCCTCTGAATGGATGAATAGTGCTCAGCCCAACACAGTTTTGTCCCGGGAGGGTGTGTTTGTTACAAGAAGGTCTTGTCCCATGGCTGGAACACAGTGCTGTGTACTGTATGTAACTGAAGGCTATACACAGTTTATACAGCACTCCCAGCTATTGTAACTGTTAGGCTACGTTCACACTTGACTTTATTTCTAACTCCCGCCAAAAGCCCCTATAGCGTTTGACAGGCATTTGGAAGCGTTTTTAACGCTCCCCAAACACCCTATGTGCGTTTTTGAGGCGTTTGCAAAGCGTTAAAACCGCACCACACACACCTATAATGAAGTTATTGGTATTAACGCTCCGCAAGTGCCTGCCAGGCGTTTGAGAAGCATCACCATATATTTGAATGGAAGACTTCAACTCCTCCTGACTTGACATGCGGCATCAGTTTTGCCGCGGCACTAACGCTTCAGTATGAACAGCACTGTGTGCTGCCATGTGCAGAATGTTCATAAAACACTTCCAAAACGCCTTTCTGATGCCTGCTGACAAAGCTAGTGTGAACATAGCATAAGTGAAGTAAATAGTCATTTTGGGCCAACTTGGTCCAAGAGAACTGTTTAACCACTAGCCTACAGGGCACTTATACCCCCTTCCTGCCCAGGCCAATTTCCAGCTTTCAGCAGTGTCGCACTTTGAATGACAATTGCACGGTAATGCAACACTGTACCCATATGAAATTTTTATCATTTTTTTGGGACAGAGCTTTATTTTGGTGGTATTTAATCACCTTTTCCTAAACCAAAAACCACTTTTTTTCTCTTAGTGATTTTTCTCCTTCACTGATGTGCGCTAATGAGGCTGCAGTGATGGACACTGATGAGGAGGCACTGGTAGGTGGCACTGATGGGCATTGACAGGCATCACTGATGGGCACTGAAAGGCAGCATTCATATATGGCACTGATAGGCGGCACTGACTGGCACTGATGGGTGACACTGAAAGACAGCTCAGATGGGCACTGATATATGGCATTGATGTGGCACTGATGGGCACTGGCAGGTGGCATGGATGAGCAGTGACAGCTGGCACTGATGGACACTGACAGGTGGCACTGCTGGGGCTACACAGATCATCAGGGCACACTGATAATCAGTGCTCTTATGATCTGTGTACATGTCCCCTCCGAGGAATGCCGATTATTTGCTCCCCTCTCCTCACGAGCTGTCAGCATGACAGCTCGTGGGGAGAGAAATGCTGATAACATTTCCCTGTTTACATGTGATCAGCTGTGATTGGACACAGCTGATCACATGACCGAGCCGACATCTTGGCTCTTTCCGTGGATCGGTGATCTGCTGTGTCCAAGGGACACAGCGCACCGCCGATGGCCGCGCTCCCTGAGCCGCACATGCGTGGTTAGAATGGGAGGACGTCATATGATGTCCTCCCAGAATGAGAGAACCACCTTGCGTCCGTCATATTACTATATGGCGGGCGGGAGGCGGTTAAAGTTAAATGAAACCTGGAGATCCACTTTAAAAAAAAAAAAAAGCCTGTTTTTGCTCTGATGCCTAATGAATGTGGGGCAGATACACAAACGACCCAAAGAAGGGCTAGAAATATAAATAAAAGCAATGGTAAAGCGTGGATAAATAATATAAAGAAATACTGTACATAACCCATAAAAAAGGAAAATGAGTTTCCTCTTCTAAAGCTCAACTTTTCTTGATTTTTCTAGATGTAGAAAACGGGTCTAGCCAGTTCCTCTAATTATGTCTACATTTAGCAAACTTAGTGAAAATACCTTATGACAGGCACAATGACAGTGATCCAGACACAGCCCCGGAAGTCAACTGCTGAACATTACTGTGAATTACACACCCTATAGTTGTCCTATCTCCAATACTGCATTGCTAGTTATTCTTGTTTAACATACATGTCCGCATGCTTTGCTTATGGATGAAATAAAGCATGTTTGTTGTAATTAAATGTCATGTCTTAAAGTAGAACTCCGTCTTAAACATAACTAGCCTTAAAAATGTCCCCACCCCTCCTAACACCTGTGCTGACTAACCAGTGTAAAAAAGATGTACAGTATATACTTCTTTTCAGCGCATTTCAGTCCGGACACGTGATCCCCCGTGCAAGCCAGTGGCAGTTGCAGATAAGAGAACATTAGACAATAGCTGGTAAAGCCTGGAGCGGTGACATCACCCATAGGCTCCCATAGCTCATCCTTTATCAGTATTCCCTCTTCTGACCTGCAGCCAGAGCTGGCTGACACAGGGGAAGACGGATCACATGATCTTCTTCCTCTTCCTCCTTTTTTGTTTTTTTTTTTTTTTTTACACAGGTTTGTCACAATAGGCGCTAGATGCGGGGAGGGAGCATTTTTAAGGCTAGTTGGGTTTAAACTGGAATTCTACTTAATGTACTTTTATTATTAGATATTTGACCAAAATGGTTAAAGAACTGTAATCACACTTCTTCTTTAAGGCAAAGCACAGAAACTTGTGGCAATCAGAATTTTATGGTAATCTGACTTCCTCTAGGTTACTGTCCCTTGCCCTTTTAGCTTTATTTATTTTTTTAAATTGAGATTCCCATCAAAAAATGTATTTGTTTGATGCTTCCATCTCTTGTTCATTGAGGGACACAGGAATTCAGATACTGTTGGGTTATATGATTGCCTACAGGAGGATTTGAACACTGGCAACTACAGAAAAAAAAAAATCCTAAGGTCAGCCCAGGACAACATGTTTTATACTGCGCATGCCACAATTTTGACATCAATAAAGGTTTCCTGTTAACACTGCTCCTTGAGCTGTTCTCTATATGGTAGTTATTCTGATCGGTTTTGGAGTGCCATATTTGAACCCTGCTGGCCTGGATATTGCAAGGTTAGCCTTGAAGTACAACTTTCAGGAATGAAATGACTACCCTTGCAATGCTCTCCAGACATCAAGTACTTGTAAAAGTTATTCATGGAGCATTTTCCAGGTCCATAGCTGTTGGCATTTCCTCAGCACTTGCCCTGTTTTTAAAGACTCACTTTGTTGTGTAGGCCAGTTGGGCTGAGCACCAGCTGCTTGGGTTTTTTGTAAATACCTGATGCTTTGTCTTCTACCATGAACCAAGTTACTTTACTACCACGAGTGCAACATCTCTATGTCTAGACACCGAGCAGAGTCCCGCTGCAACTGGTTACCCTGCTTGCACTAATAAAAAGGAGTTTTACTCTGTAAACTGAGGGCACTGAAGCCTGTAATCTGTAATCCAATGACCCTATGATTATTGGGTCTACCTCATCAAAGTCTCTCTCAGCTCCATCGGGTGAGACCAAGTTTTTCATCCTGTTGTCAGGGACCTCAACTGCAGTCACACAAGACTTTTTGGACAGATTCGCCCAATTGTTTGTAGTTAACTGCATAGGTCAATTAAGGATCTTCTGAGACCTTAGAACAGGTCAAACCACCAGTCGCATAGATCATCTCAGAGTCTAAGGCGCCAGTCTTCTCTTTTTATATAAGACTGTTTTGGAGGTGCTGCACTCTTGCATATATTGGAACAACATGCTGTCTGCAGCTGTAGGAGCTCTTGGGTTCCTTTCACTCCTGGATCCCTTGTCCTTGTGTTAGCTGGGCCTCTGGCTCTTGACCCCTGCCTGGCTACCACTCTCTTCCTCAGTGTTGCCCTTTCTGGAGGGACCCTCTAACCTACTAGGTCAACTGGGACTAGTTATTACTGCTTAAGGATTTAAATCCAACATTCCACAACAATATTTCCCAGAGCATTGACTCCTGTACTCAGCCTAACGCTCTTTCCAGCATCCCCATTGTAGGACACTCTTACAACTTCTGATGAAGAGAATAGGCATCATAGATCCTAGTGGACATCATCTCCCTGAAGGGCTTTAAGCCTGAAAGGTCTGATAAGAGGTGGCCTCTTCAGTTTTCAGCACTGGAAGTGATATGTTGCCTGAAGGAAAGGGTAACCATCATTGTCTCTCACTGGAAAGATTCACTGCATGCCCACCTTCAGATTCCTCATCATTGGACAAGGTGTAGCCCCTCTCTCTGTCTGTGTTTAGATTTGGTTGTTGGGGATCCTTTTTTGTAGAGCTGTCTCCCTTTATCCCATTTTCTTTTTGGGCCACATCAGACCCCTTCTCCACTGTTGCAGGCCTAGTCCCTGAGCAGTCTTAATGTGCCTGCCTCTATGAACCAGGTAGCCCCAGGTGTAGTTATGCTGGTAGGCATTCTCTTCCTTCCAAGGAGCATCTGTCAGTCATCTGTCAGGATTGGCCATCTGGCTTTAGCACTGGAAGTTCCATCGTAGTTTCACTGTTCCCTTAAAGGACATCTCTTTGGTAACCAGTTCTCAATAGAGGTAACCTCTGTTATGGGTGGGTGTGTGTGTGTGTGGGGGGGGGGGGGGGGGGGGGGGGGTAGAGTAGAGGTGGTGGTGGTGACATTTAGGTGCACCTTTTGGTCCTGCTTTGCAGGTGAAGGTAGCCTGAGGAAGACCCCATGTCTTACTGCACTATCAGTAGACAAAACACTCTGCTGAAGGTATCCTTTGATGGGGCAGAAAATCCCTTTTAGCATATACTGTATATGGTCAAAACGTAAAATCTTATATTCATTTCCACATTTGAACCATCTTGACGTCTATAAACTTTGTGTAGATCCCTACACATTTACTTCCTTGAGTTCTGTGACACATATTTGCAAACACTGGAGGAAGGTACTTCGGGCACACTCCCTTGTTCGGCCTTTAATCAGGTGGATGTTTGCTGTTCTGTATTCCTAGACCCTTACCTTAAGATCAGTAATAGGCAGGATTGTGTATTTATTATTTCTGGATACCTCTGAAGCTTCTGCTTTCTGAATTCTATCTGTCTGGTTTCTTCCAATCCACCACTCTGGAGCTGAGCTCCATAACTTGCCTAGCCTTGTGGGGTGTGTCCAGGCATCCTACCTTCTTCAGTTGTGTTTACTTAGCGTGGTTACTTTCCTAAATTCTCTGGTGGACTCAGAATTCACTAAATACTCCTTGCAGGCTGTGTATTCTTGCTGATTTTAGGGGTTCCTCTGGTGAGTCTTGATTAGCAAGGTTAGTTGTCTGGAAAATTGCTAAACATGGAGTTTTCATTCCTTGAGGCTTAGAGCCTTCCCACTTAGACCAGCTGTTCTTTTTACTATGACCTGTTTTGATTTGGATTCCTTCCGGACTTCCTTCTTGTGGACGTGACACCGTTTTCTTGTTAATCACATTGGGTTGTGGGGGTTTTTTTTTCCCCTGTGTGCAGAATTTATTCTACCTGTTTTGATGGCTTTTGATGATAGAATACCTATATCTCTCAATGGGCAAGAAAGGAAAAATAGAATATTTGTGTTCCCTATCAAAAAACGTTTTGGAATCCATTAATGGACACAGGAATTCAGACACTGTTGGGTTATACTGCCACCTACAGGAGGATGGGACACTGGCAAAGAGAAAAATTGTGGGCCAGTCCAGGATAACTCCTCCTCTACACAGCATGCCTTATTTTGTAGCACAGTGTCAAAAGCATGATCATAAACACAGGGGTGGGACTAATGTCTACATTAACTTCAAGAAAATTATTTTACAGGGGATAAAAAAAAAAATCCTATGTTAAGGGTACTGATGAGAAACCAACATTTTCTAAATGTTCCCTATAAAGTGACAAATTGTAATTTTGTTTTTGAGTATCTGTCATCTTTAAAAGCATTGAATATGAATTTTAACATTGATTTATTCCCTGTCTACAACATCCATTCTGTCAGTGAGATTAATAAATACAAGATGATCTGTTTAAGAGTTGGAGAATGTCATACCCTTTGTTGTACTTTGTGTTTTTTTTTTCAGGTTGGATAAATGGCTTGCTGCAGCAGTGGACTGCTTGGAGCATTTTCCAGATGAACAGATTGTGATGCTAAGTCAACAATTGCCACAGAGTAAAGAGGAAAAATTGGATCTTTATAAGAAGATGCTGTTTGATGTTATTGCAAAATATTATTCACAAGAGAGAGATCCGTTTATCGAAGGGCAAATGACTATTATTCTCCCTGGTGTTGTTGAACTCTTGGGTGAGAACCATTGGCTTACAGTTGGATTTTTGTGGAAGCTACCTTCCAGCTAAGTAGATATTGATTAAAATCTATTTCTTTAAAGGTTCTCTCTATGCAAAACTAGTATTTCAGTGCACAAGTGGGTTTGAGTGCATGCTTGTGGTTTTAGTTCCCCTTCAATTTTGTATCTGTTTTGAACTTC